AATGTGACATTACAACTAAATTCTATCCCTTTCATATAGCCATCGCAATATCAAACTTATATACAAATGTTGTTGATCTTGCTCATGTCACCATTTAGATGAAATTTTTGCTTGCTACAGGTGCACTAGGTAGGGTGAAAACTTTACAAAGCTTATTATTTGTATTAGCTCTAAGGTGGCTTCTCTTTTTCTCTCTGTTTTAATGCTTCCTTTTCATTTAAATGCAAAACCTTTCTCCCAGTGCCCTTTGTTTCTTGTTGTTTGTTCTATATCCGATGTTCATTTGATTTGTGTCATTGGCTACAATAAAGGGAATACATGGGGGTGGCAAAGAACATATTCCATGGGTGTGTACCTTTACAAGCACAATATATTTCTGTTTTATAGAAAGAGACTTTTCTTTTGTAAGTTACATATACCATTTTCTGCTGTGGTGTATAGTAAAGTACATGATCCTTAAAGAGTGAAAAATTGGTGAGGAATCCTGATGAGAGAATTTTAGAACCTTCAATCTTAACATGTTTGCTTACCTTATTAATACAATCTGGTTAAAACTGCTATTCATACAAATAAAATATTAAAAATGTAGGAGGAAACACAAAGAATGCATATAAAAACTTTAATATGTGGAAATCTGGGAGTTGAAGTCAACAAATCTTAAAATTGATGATGTTGAGAAACACTGGCATAGAGAATGTGCCCATACCAGATCGGAAGCAGCCCTTTTCTCATATTAGATCCAAATGCTTGTGGATCCCTGCCCCTCACACAGAATGCACTTCAAATATTTATATTCATAGAATGATAGATTCAAAAGAGACCTTAGACGTTTTCTAGTTCTATCCCTACCCAAAGTAACAATTCTCATCCCATTCCAAATGTACAGGTGTGTAAGCACAGAAAACCGATGATGGAGCACTCACAACTCCAGGAGGTAGACTGTTCCACTTCTTATTAGTCAGGAAATTTCTTCTCCTTTCAACTTGGGATCTTCCTCTGATTCTTGTTTTATTTTCAGCTTCTATGGAAAATAGATCCACACCTTTTCCTTGTGAGAGTCCTTCAAGCTACTGGAAAACTACTATCAAGTCTCTGCTTAAAAGCAGTGGTGAAATCCAAATTTTTTTACTACCGGTTCTGTGGGCGTGGCTTGGTGGGCGTGGTGTGGTTTGGTCGGCGTGACAGGAGAAGGATACTGCAAAATCCCCATTCCCTTCCCACTCCTGAGGGAAGGATATTGCAAAATCTCCATTCCCACCCCACTCTGGGGCCAGCCAGAGGTGGCATTTGCCGGTTCTCCAAACTACTCAAAATTTCCACTACCGGTTCTCCGAATTACTCAAAATTTCCATTACCAGTTCTCCAGAACCTGTCAGAACCTGCTGGATTTCACCCCTGCTTAAAAGGGATATTTCTGAAATACTTTGTCCATTCTGGTCTTTTTTCCTTCTGTACATAAAACTTACCATTTAAAAAAATGAGGACGGCAACCTGTTAAAAACAAGCTACCAGTATAAGAAGTGCCTGCATAAAGGGTATCATTTTACTTTTTGGGACTAGGAATCAATTTGAATATCAAGACGTGTTTGTTATGCTTTAATTTATATTATCTCCATAGAGTCCTCTCAAAATTCAAGATATCATTACCATTAATTAAAACCATGGCTGATCTCGTTTAGTCTTTCACATACTCCATCCATAAGCTTTATTAAATGCTTCTATTATTTCAGTAACTCTGATGATTTACTCATGGATATTAAGCATAGAAAAATGGTGTCTAGAAGTTTATGCCAGCTATGTGGGACTCAGAATTGCTTCCCTGGTTATGTGGTGAATGGGAGGTTTGGGAATTGCCAGAATGACATTTAGCGATCACCTAGAAGACCTGCAATCCTCGTAGCTTTGGTTGCAACCCCATTCTTAGTGCGCTGTGGTGGAGATAGTGGAGACTATGTGATCCCCCCCTCTTTATTCTGGACCAACGTGGAATTTTAGATGTAGTGGCTGATGACTATTTCTTAACACCTGAAATACTTCTTGCCAAACAAGAAAATAAAGATGGTGTATTGAGTGGCAAAAGAGAGAGGTAAAAGGAACAGAGGCAATATCAGATCAGAGTTTGCTCACTTTGACCAGATTACTACAGCTGCTGTGGCTTGTTGCTCTCCATATTCTGGCCTTGGTTGGCACTGTTGTGTTGGATTTGGACCTGGTGGTGTTAATCTGCCAACCATATGGATTTTTAACTCACTGAAATTGGATGACACCAGGGTGAATGAGGAATGGTGGTTATATTTGGTGGAACTTGCTAAAACCTCCAATGCTCAATCTCTTGAAGCAAGTCTGGGAGATTGTTGGGTGTGGCTGTGAGGGGCAAGGGTAGTTGGAAGCTGGTGCAAGTATGAATTGCATGAGTGGGGTGCATGAGTTCCTTGGCTTGGAAGAGAAAGCTGTGGATATAATGGAACTGGATTAAAAAGTGAGGACAGGCAGTACCATCAAAGTCATGACAGGTAGAGAAGGTATGACAGAATTTGAGGGTAAACCATAGTCAGGGATACTAGGGAGGCTGTTTGAAAACTATTCATCGCAGTTGTGACCTGTGCTTGGTTTGGAAATACCTGAATGTGGCTAAAATGGGAAACAAATAAAACATGGTTGCTGAGTTGATTCAGTAAAGATTTGTGAAATTAGATTAGATGAATGTACTTCTCAGCTAGACTGGTCTTAAGTGCATCAGGTAATCACACTTAGGCACACCCCCGAATGTTTTCATCCTAGGGGACCAGGTGTTCAATAGCTCCTTTTCAAGCTGCCTCACCCACGGTCCATTATATGCCAAATGTTTGAGGAGTCTGAGGGGTTAGAGGCAATGCATTAGTGCATTTAAAGTGAAAGGTATAAATAATGCATGCTGTGTAGCTATTTCCAACCACATAATAGCTTCAGTCTTTGCTACAATGTGATGCTTGTGCCAAGTGAAAGTGTCAGAGAGTAGCTGCAAGCTAAATGATATCCCCTTGAGGATGTTGGGGTGGGAGGGGTAGAGGGGCGGATGGCTCATAGAAGCTACAACTGAACTTATTTTTCTGCTCAACACATTTTAATTTTGAGATTTTAAAGCATGCCACAGTTTCAGCGTAGAATCTGCCGTTTATTGTCTATATTAAAACTATTTTAATCTACAATGTAAATTATTTAATGATATTTCACCATTGAACTTCCGTGCATGTATGCTTTTGAGGGTGCATGAGCACACAAAACAATTTTAATGAATGCAACGTATCATAATAAATGTGCCATTTTAAGACCGTGGTCTCTGGATTATGGACTTGGAAACTCTCTATAAATCTAAAAGCTGTCAGGCTGGGCTCTGAAAATTGTATAAGGCTGTTGTTAACAAGCTCGGCTCCCAGGTCTGATATTAACCACCAGAGCTTCTATAGGAAATAAGAGAGCTGCATTTGTTCATTCACCCTCAGGAGTTCTAGGATTCAGTGTATGTAGGAGAAAAATAACAGTCCCTGTTCATATGATTATACCTAAGGGGTTGTGGGTTTTTCTCTACCACAAACCCTGTGGAAATAAGTTATTGACTATTTGTTCCAAATGTTTTTGGGTTGTTTTTTTGCAATCCACTCCTGTCTTTATTTCTATGTGCCATTTTATCTAATTGGTCCACTAGGATCTAAAAATATCTTATATGAGCATTTCCCCCCTTTTCAACTTCTTCTGTTGTATGCCTTTGATGACTCTTTAAGCCCTTTTCCTTCCAGCTGTTTTTTTTTCTACTCAAGACTTTCATCTAGGCAGGATTTTGGGGGGCATTGTTCTTTTGTTTTTGTTTAGCCTGATGTCATGTGGCATTTTAGGAACTCTCAGTACAAGAAAGCTATAAATAATTACAGTGTCATATGACACTAAATTCCATTAATGCATTTCCATAGAAAAAAGTTTCATTCCAGCATTCATATTCCATGAAAATTGTCCCTTAATAAAACTGTCTATTGGTTGCTAAGCCAGTTTCTTTTTGAAGAAGACTTATCTTTTAAAAATCTAAACTGGTTACCTCTTTTTATCTAAGTTACTTCCATTATGTATAGTTTCTGATGAAAAGTTCCAGGATTAATCCATTACTTATGAAACAGAAACATGTTTTTCTTTGAGTATGTGATTTGGATGAAGTGGTGACACAACAGTAGTACTAGTAGGTAATGTTTTAATTAATGAAGTCTCTAAGCTAAAAATATTTTGTCTCATCCTCTCAGAAGTACCAATTAGCTTCTCTTTACAAAGGCAAAGAACTTTCTCTCAAAATATTACTTTGTGACAAGTAGTCAAGTACCCACATTAATGGATGGAACAATATTGCTTTGGGCAAGGAATATTTTTTAAAGTCACAGAACTAGGTCCGCATGATGAAAATAGGAATTTTGTCATGCATTTTGAAATGGGTAAGAACAAAATGAGTGACGAATTCTAGTTAATTGCAATGTATTATGAAAACCCTGGATGGGAGACTAAGAAGTGAATATGCATTTATTTATTTATTTATTTTAATTTAAAGACCTCTGGTTGTTTCAGCTCTATGACATTCTGTACCAAAGGAATATATTACATAACAAATATAGCAGCAGTCTAGGGCCCTTCAATTTTTTACCAATTTATTGTAAAATAAGGCCTCATGGGTCATCAAAATATGTAAGCAGTAAGGATTAACACTAAATGATTGTCTAGAGTAGTAAACATTTGTGTGTTCAGTTATTTTCTGAGGCAAACTAAGATCCTCATAATTTGTTCTTGGGAATCATGATAAATATATTTTCTATAACTATTTGAGCTATGAATTTTCATTTGTTCATCTAATGCTAGCATTGATGTAAATTCATGTACTCCAGTGGCCACAGCAATGGGTTTTTTTTAAATATATAGTCATATGTATCAGCTCAAAATGCAGGAATGGATATCCTATTTTGTCATGTTTTTCCCCCCCTCTACAGATTGTATTCCGGAAGATCAGTGATGTAAAACGAGAAGAAGAAGAGAGAATGAAAAGGAAGAATGAAGCCCCTTTGGTCTTGCCACCTGACCATCCAGTCCGTCGACTTTTCCAAAGATTTCGGCAGCAGAAGGAAGCCCGACTAGCTGCAGAAAGAGGAGGCAGAGAAGACTTTGATGTTGAAAAGGGCAACATTTTAGGAGACCACTCTTCCCACACAGTTGTCAAAGCCAGCATTGTCACTGTAAGGGAAAGCCCTGCAACCCCAGTTGCCTATCAGTCTGCTTCAACATCAGGTGTATCTGATCAGGCCAAACTTCAAGCTCCAGTTTCAGACTATGTTGGTGGGAAAGCAGCAGGAGATTATCCAAAGCGTAAAGGCTGGGCAAAATTCAAAGATGCTTGTGCCAAGGGAGAGGACTGGAACAAAGTTTCCAAAGCTGAATCCATGGAAACGTTGCCAGAAAGAACAAAAGCAACAGGTGAAGCTACTTTGAAAAAGACAGACTCTTGTGACAGTGGCATCACAAAAAGTGACCTGCGCTTGGACAATGTGGGGGAAACACGAAGTCCTCAGGATCGAAGTCCCATCCTTGCGGAAGTCAAACACTCTTTCTACCCTATCCCTGAACAGACTCTCCAGGCAACTATGCTGGAAGTGAAACATGAATTGAAGGAGGACATCAAAGCTTTAAATACAAAAATGACCAATATAGAAAAACAGCTTGCTGAGATACTAAGGATATTAGCCTCTCGAAGAAGCTCTCAGACACCACAGGAGCTGTATGAAATATCAAGACCCCAATCTCCAGAATCAGAAAAAGATATGTTTGGAGCAAGCTGAGTGGTTCTTTAAACAGGAGTGATTTGAATATCCCTAAAAACACTATCCAACACCCACTTAATGTGTTTAAGGAAATGGACATTTAATCTTTTTTTTTTTTGATGATCATGATTTGAGGGGCCAGCTTGTTAACCATGTCCCCTCTCTCTTAATGGTACAGTGACAAGAACTGCAACCTCATGTCAAGATGGCAGCTGACTCTGAAGTCTTTTTTGACAGCAAGGGTACAGTTTATAATGTTTTTCCTACTTCATTCATGCATCCTTTTCCACTCAAAGTTATTTTTGACAAAAACAAAACCATAGAACTGAAGTTCAAGCATTAGCTTCATATACAATATTTACCAAGTTTGTAGAATCTCTTCAAATGGAATGTGTGAGACCCAATTCTCCTTGATCTTAAGATAATATCTGTAGAAGGGCTCCACAAAAACAAAAACAAAAACAAAGACTCAATTTGTGAAAACTTTGATCCTTATTGAGTGGGAAGATTCATGTGGCCCTCTCATGTGAGATATTATTGTGTATGTGTGGTGGAAGAGATCTCCTCCACTCCTCTTTAAAAATACTTAAGTTTTAGGCAATTGGACCAGGGAAGTTCAACTGTGTCCTTTCCAAGCTTCAGGTTGCAAAAATGTCTTTACATTTTTTAAATTTGTTGGTGGGTAGCTGAATAAGTTCTTGCCTGGTGAAATGAACTTATTTTGTCTCTTCCCCCCCCCATCAGAATTTTTAGGGATTCCTGTTGTAGTAATCAAGAAAAGACCCAGAAATGAGATGACATTTATGGAATTTATTATCAAGAAGTATAGTTTTTAATTTCAGCTATGATTCATAGCAGGCATTATAATTTACCACATAGTTGGTAATATCTCTTTACAAAAATAGAATATTAATTGGCCAAGGAGCTCAGCTGTCCGAAGTAGTGAAGCTTTTTCAAACAAAAGCTTCTACTTAGAGTGGTATTAATGACAAGAAAAATTGCTTTCTTGCCCACACTAAATATTTATCACATTTTGTACTTACTTCATTTTTAAAAAAAAAAACCTACTTATTTTATCATTGAGTTTCTTTTCAGCACTATAAACACCAAAGGATGTTGAAATATTTATACATCAGAAGCAATGATGCATTAATAACAAACAAACCATTTCAATGTATTTGTTCATTGTAATGGTCTCCAGTACCTCATGAAGAAGTGTGTAGTATTTATTCTTATTCTGAAAGCTCTGATTATTCTCTGATCTTTTCTTAAAATAACTGATTAGGTCATGAATGAAACATAATGGGGAAGACATGCAAGGGTTCTAATATAATCACATCAAGGAGAAATAGAATCTGCTTGTATGGTCTGTGGTTCAGCAAGATTTCTCTTAGATTCCACAATTATTTTTACAATCAGAATGTGATTATACTAAACCATAATGTGCTTTCTTTGTTTTATATACACACCATTATGATTTAGTGTTATGAACAAAATAATCCACAATGACTTATTTAGTAAGTTATGTTTTTAAATTCCTGGCATAGCATTGGACATAAGGAAAAATCATGGATTGGTGGTTGTTGGAAATTAATAACTGACCTGTCATCTGTAGAATATCGTAAGATAATTTCAAAGCATATAAAGGAGCCAACTGATGCAACGTATAGTATTGGTTTTTAAGAGCAGGGCTAGTGCACAATTGGAGCAACCATAATACTAAAATAGTGTGTCTTGAGATATTTAATCCTGCAGCAATTGCAGGAAGAAAGATAACATAGCTATAGCCAATTAAGACCCATAGCTTTCAGCGCCAGCTGGGTCTATTTACCTTTATTTACCTCTCCCTCCTCCTTTCTATATACTTCTTTTGGAATAGTCTATGGGCTGTTGGACATAACTTCTTTAGTTTCCTGGATCAGATACATAACACTGTATCTGCCTTTCCGTTCTAAATGTATGTGTTTGTTTCTGAGGCCAGGAGATTCAATCAAAGAAATAGATCTTTCTAAATTAAACAGGGAATTTGTGCTTAAACATCCAGCATATAATTATGTCAGAACAATTAAATTTAGTGACACTGTTGTATCATTAGACAGGAACAGGGTTTCCATAAAAACAACATTATTTAATACAGATATAGTGCCTCCCTGTTTACCATGGTTTGAAACTAGGATCCAAGTTTAAGATTTGACTCCCCTGTCCTCCCCTCTCTTCTTCTACAATGCAACAGCCCTCTTCCTTTCTCTGCCTACCTAAATCAGAGTTTAGCAGCACTCTGGCAGTAATCATAAATTAGATTAAATAGATAGTCAGTGTAGCCTGATTAAACTCAATGCATTTGTAATCTTAAACCATGGTCAAAACAAAAATGAGAGTGGGAGGAATACTGAGGAGCAAAGAGCTTGCTCAGGAATATTTTTTTGGTTTTCAACTGTGCTTTGTAGAATTTGTGCTTATTCTGTGCATATGGAAGAGAGGCACATGTTTTCTAGAAAAGGGACAAACCCCCCACCCCTGATTTACAGGTAGTTTTTTATTTATAACCATTCAATTAGCAACTGTTCAAAGTTACCACAGCTCTAAAAGAAGTGACTTATGACTGATCCACTTAGGACCATTGCAGCATCTCCGTTGTCACATGATCATGATTCAGGTGTGATCATCGTTTGCAACCTTCCCAGCTTCTGACAAGCGAAATCAATGGGGAAGTCAGCAGGAAAGGTCACAAGTTACGGTCATGTGATGGTCACCAAGAGCCGTGTTGGCACAGTGGTTGGAATGCAGTATTGCAGGCTACGTCTGCTGACTGCCAGCTGCCAGCAGTTTGGCAGATCGAATCTCACCAGGCTCAAGGTTGACTCAGCCTTCCATCCTTCTGAGGTCAGTAAAATGAGGACCCAGATTGTTGGGGGAAATATGCTAACTCTGTAAACCGCTTACAGGGGGCTGTAAAGCACTGTGAAGCGGTATATAAGTCTAAGTGCTATTGTTATCCACAGCAAAAAAGAGCTATAAAATTGGACACAGTCACATGATGTCTCACTTAATGACTGCACCACTTAATGAATTTTCCAGTCCCCATTTTGATTGTAAATGTAGGACTACCGTTATTCTACATTTAGATTTCATTAACATGAAAAGGAGAACCATATTACTACCTTTGGAAATCCCTTCGAGCTGTACTCAAGATTTTCAGAGTTCTCATTTTGTCACAGCATTCATTTCTGTTGTGAAAAGTAATACTTCTGTATTCCATGCAGGCACATGAAGTTGATAATGGTGGGGATTCCAATTTATTTATTTATTGGTTTGATTTATATGCCGCCCTTCTCTGGAGACTCAGGGCAGCTTACAATGCGTTAAGCAATAGCCTTCATACTTTTGTATATACCTGCTTAGTAGGGCTTTCGCCTCCCCCTAAGCGGTGTTCTTTTTTATACAAAGTCACCTTATTGCCCCCACAATCCGGGTCCTCATTTTACCTACCTCAAAAGGATGGAAGGCTGAGTCAACCTTGAGCCTGGTGAGATTCGAACTTGCAGTAATTGCAGGCAGCTGGTACTACTTAACAGCACTTTAGTCTGCTGCGCCACCAAGGCTCTTAGCTAATTGACCTGTGGCATAATGCCTTTCTGATACAGTAGCAGCTTATTCATTGCCATCTGACAATACAGATTTCCCTATATATTGATCAGGTCAAATAAGCCACTGTATGAAAATAGAAACTGATTCCAATTATATACATCACATAATGTTTGGTAGTTAGTAACTCTGTTGAAGTCCTGGAAGTAACTGTAGAGGAGATTAGTTTTAAAATTAATCTCTTCTGTATAGGGTTATATCACAAAGTTAAATCATGAGGTTTTGTGCAAACATTAGTGCCACTTTGCTGAATATATCATGCATGTCATTTGCATTGATAAGTTCTAGAAGTGGAGTGTTTAGTGGCTGTTTAGTTAGAAACAAAATGAATTAAAGGCCTTTTAACGTATTTTAAAAGGCATTTCTACTTAATAGGACTTTTTAAAAAAAAATAACTTTGATCCAGTGGTATATGAATACAGCTCTTTCCTACTGGACCCTACTGTATCTGCTAACTTTTTTTCTATGGTGGCCTCTTGTATTTTCAGAGCATCATTTGGAAATGTGTAGGGTCCAGCTGGAAGAAAGAATAAAAGTTTCTCCACTTCAGACAGAAGTTTATTTTTGGTTATATAATAAGAGCTTTGTATCCCTGTTGATGTAGTTAGTTTGAATGTCTGAATTTATAAAAACTGTAAGTGGGAGCAGCCATCTTAGGAGATAAATTGCTGCTTTATCCAATCAGGTGAAGATGCCATATTTCTCACAGCCTTAATGTGGTCATATAGGAAGCAACCAAAAATGAAGAAAATGGGCCTTGAGGTTCTTAGTGGCCTCTGACCTTGGATGTTTTCCTGCAGTCCTTGGGTTAATAATGTTATCTAGCCTGGTAACCAAACCTCTGCAGGACAACAACCAAATTCAGAGAATACCAAGAACACAAACATTTCAATCCTAAAATACATATGATGTGCATTATTGAAAATAGGTTTTCTTCTCTTCAAATCATCATTTATCCATATGCAAAATTGTGTAGTTTTAAATTTATTAATCTGTTAATCAGTGTAAAGCCATATAATTAATAATTTAAGATGTGTACAACTGGGAAATTATTCTTGCACTATATACCAAAGGTATACTGAAAGTAATCAAGTTTTTTTAAAATTGCCTTGGCATACTTTTAGCCATTTGTAAGAAAAGAAGATGTGGAAGATAAATCTTGTATAGATTTATCATCTAGAGTAAGGTAGCTTAGAAATGTAATTAATATATTATTAAGGCTTTTATAGGTACTATGTGTTATTAAAAGTGATAGCCTTATATCAGCTTTTAAGTGTGTGTGTGTGTGAGAGAGAGAATGGGGGGGAGAGGGAGGGAGAGAAGGAAAGAGAGAGAATGTAATACTGTTCAGCATTGTGATTTTTAAAAATGATGCTGTAGTTTAATATCCGTGAAATAGAAGACCCTCGTATTGCAGGATGTTAACATAGCAAAAAGGCTGCTGCTGCTGCTCATCACAATATTCTTTAATATATATATATATATATGAGAGACATAGTTTATGGGTGGCAATAGGGCATAATTTCAAGTGATCGTTTTATTATTTGATAATCCATAGACGGGGTGGGCCAATATTGGTGCTCATTTTATTATCTTTTTGCTTTAAAATATTTCATTCTTTTCAGCCACAAAATGGTGCTTAGTCCTGATAAGACATATGGGCATCGCAAGCCCTGAGGTCCTTAAGTCTAAAGTCTAATGTACTGAGTTGCCCACTTATTATGGAAGGATTATGGTCACTGAGAGGGACATTGCTAGATTATGATATACTATCATCAACGGCCACATGAACTCTGGTTTGACTAATTGCATTTCTGGTTGGTTAGCCAAAAGCAATTTCTAGGGCTAAATACCCTAATGGGGAAGGAGCACTGTGGCTGTTTGTTCTGTTTTCTGAGCAGTGCATCCCCCAAAATTGTGAATTTCAAGCTCCATCTATAAAGGGAATTTAAACAGAGATTTTGGATGTAATTAAATCAGACCAACCCATCTTAGGCTCGACTGATCCTGTGTTGTCTATATTTTGCCACCCAGTGAGTTTTAAAAGCTTAGAGGATTGCAAAAGCAAGGCATTGGCAGGCTGATATATTTTGTGGGAGGAGGTTGTGCAGAACAGCAATAATAATGCAGGAAGACAAGACACTGAAATTCTAAGCATTTTTGGAGTCCAACTTTGAAGTCAATTTGGTTCAGGAATACCTGCCCACAGGCTTTGCTACATAGCAAGTGTATAAAGTCTGTAAACTTTTTACAGGAAAAAAAAAAAAATAGCGGCAATGCCACATAGGACCATTGCTATCCTTTCTATTCCTATTCTCCATTAATTCAGCTGTGCCCTACAAGGGAAAATGTAATATCACTAAGATCAACAACAGATTATTTTTAATGCACTGACAATGGCAACTTGCAGGATCAGGTTTGAGAGCAGACTTTTCCCCCTGCTGTCCTGTGTCTTGGAATAAGGCTTATTTAACTTCATTGTAAGGATATGAGTATACTCTACAAGTTATTTGGAGTTCCTAAGTATGACATGTTGATATTTGAGGTTTGTTCATCACAGGCTTGAAGACACTGGAGCCAAGCAGCTCCTAAATCAGGGTTTATTCCATATGATGAAACCTTTCCCCCTCTCCCGATTAGTATGCATATTTTTTGCAACACAGCTATAAGTAAAAAATGTTCGTTAACTCCCATAGAAGCAGCCATCACTAATGTCCCACATTACACAATTCTGTCTTCAGAACATTGATTACCTAAATAGCTAAATAAATAAATATGACTGGGTTTGGTTTCCTGTCCCAAAGGTGCTTTTTCCAAAAGGCAAGTGGACTTTCTTGGTTTTTGCTTTGAAAACATTGTGCTTCTCATCCAAGAAACGTCTTCAGGTCTTGGTTAAGAAGCAAAACATTCTCAAAAACAAAAACCAAGAAAGTTCAGGTGCCTTTTACAAAAAGCACCTTTGGGACAATGATGACCTGGATGATTGAGAATATCCATAGACATTTTGTTTACTGCTTTTCTATCTCTTGTCTATGTTCTGATGCTATTAATGCTTTCACCAATGCTATTACAAAAATACCACAAATTCCATCTACTCAGGGAAAAAGGGAAAAGCCTTGTAACACGGAATGCCTACAGCTTCAAACAAAAGGATTGATTGAGAATACTTGTTGATAAATCACCATAATGACAAAAATTTCAGCATAATGGTGAAAAATGATGAAAAAGTCAGAAAAGAGAATTGATTTCAGATTGTTTCAATGGATCTTTAAGTATGATTGGTCAACCCCATGTATATACGAGAGATTACTCATTAACCCATTGTAAGTATTGACCCCATTGGGAGCAATATAGTGTGTTTTCATGACTTACAGGATATTTATAGTGGTAAAAATTTATAATGGTAAAAAGATGCTTACTTGGACAAATTATATTTTGAAATTTTCTTGGAGGTGTTCAGATAAAATACTTGGTTTTTGTTTAAATTGCAGGCTTAGTTTTTAAAATGACACAACTTAGAATCGTTTTTAAAAGCCCTTTGTGTCTTTGGAATATATGTATTTGTATCTACAATTATAATGTGCAATATTAAAAACACACTTCTTGCTTTAAATTTCATTTACAGCGCTGTCCTGATTTTCCAGAGAACATCCAGTTTAACCGCACAGAAGGTGATGTTCTACTCCTACAGTACTTCACTGTAAGGACTTGAAAGAGCATTTTGCTGTGAACTTCCTGGCTGATTTTTGTTTTCTTGTTTTGACTGAGTGGAGATTTTGGCATGAAACCACATAGGATGTTATTTTTATATTAACAAAGGAGTGTCATGGGATTTTGCAGATGCAACACACACACATACAGGTATTAGTTTAGAACAGGTGCTTTTGGGCAAATAATTTCTGTTCTTTGATGCATCAAAAACAAAGGCATTTTTCCATCCGTGGATAGTAGATTGTTTTTGTCCATTTGAGAACAAGGAACAAACTTTGAGGTCCATCTTCAGGAAAAGATTAAAATGTCAATGTAGGATAGCAAGCATACAGAATGAGGCCCAAAAATATCATCTTTAGTATTGTCATAAGTCAACAATCCATTTACTGTGCAGTGAAGATGCAAGCCTGAAACAAGTTTGAGCTTTTGCACTTGCCTTGTAATCTGATTGTTGATGTCCTTTTGTTGATATGGAAGGGAGCATGCATGATGCCATGAATTATTGCATGTGGTATCAAGTGGACAGGAATTATAAACACTGTACACAGATCAGATGGCTTTGGTATTGAAAAGTTCTAATTCTCCAAACTGACGTTCTAAAATGTTCCATATCACATATATATCAAGATTGCAATAAGAAAGTACCAAAAAAATTTATGTGTTTTTGTGTGTGTGTGTGTGTGTGTGTGTGTGTGTGTGTACACCATAGCATGGGTTTTATACAACCATGGATAAGAAAGATGACAGCCAGATGAAACCTTTGCTTTCATCTAGAAATATCATGTACTGATTATTTGGAACAACAAAACAGTCAAGACAGATGCACACATGCAATATTGGTTCCTTTTGGCTTTTGAGAACTAAATTTAAAGACAGCTGGAGTGCTCTGTCGGTTGAGTGTACATGACCTCGTGATCCTACAACAAGTTCTTGCTTTTTCTCCAAGCTTTTTGCTACAAGGACTACATCGTGATAGTTTGCATGAATGTCAGTGGGAATTGTAGGGCTTGTGCTGGCATATTAAGGAAAACTTCACAATATTGCTCTCCTGTCAGATTAACTGCTAATAGCATTTCTCTCCCTATCGTGTGGTTCAAATGCTTTTTTTGGACCATGCAAATTATGACTTGCAGTTTGTAAATGCTAATCTTTGCCCAACAATTAGGAACTGAAAAGATGACAAGGGAACCTGAAAAATTATAAATGGATATAATGCACAATATTTAGGCTGCAATCTGAAATATGTTTAGCAAAGGTTAAGACATTAAATTCTTTCTTCTGCAAAAACAGACACAGGAGTGAGCCCTAACTATGGAATCAAGGCTATATTTCCTTAGGGCAATCCTTCAGTGCTGAAGAAAGTCTAGTAATGAAATGTAATGATGTCTATGGTCACTCAATCCACGAAAACTTACTTACACCGGATCTTGCTAAACTTTAGCACTAAATCACACTTCAAATATTTAGATACTTGGTCATTATTAATTATACTTATTTAAATACTTGTGGAAAAGTGTTACTTAACTGGAAATACAGCTTTCAGTGTGCATAGTAGATCAGTGAATGCAAGAGCAACTTTAAGTCTCATGAGTGAAAATGTCATTAGTAACTTCAAGAATGGCCTGCCTCCATCTTTTATTGAAACGTGCCAATATAATCAGGTGATATTCTGTATGTTTTGCATTGAGATTTCTAATGTTCACAGCAGGGCTTTCATGTTATGTTGATTCCCACTGTATTTCTGTAATGCACAGTTGGTTTGTGAGCAGAACATCTATATCTCCACAGAGGTAGGATGCTTTCTCTCTGTTAGAAGGCCTCCCAAAGTGCTTATTATTACTGCAGTTTCCACATAACAGAGTCTCTCTGGGTGCTGCTGTTTTCAGGTTTCCCACTCTGCAATCTTCCCCAATTCCTGATGTCCTCATGTAGCACTGGGGCTACAACTTGTAGGATTTCCAGAAGCATACACAGCTGCCTGGAGGTTGTCATCCAAACACATTTGGGGGAGGAATGCTAAATTGAGGGACACTCATTCAGTGCTGTATTTCCCTGCTTTGAAGTCTCTAACTTTGTGCCACAGTGGCTAACATGTACTCAATGGAAACCCATTAGGGAAGGCAGCTTTCAGAGGTTACAAGGATAGTGACCAGGCACCAACATTCAAAGTAAGAATAAGCATTTTGAAGGAAGGAAGCCTCAGTGGGATGCCTCCAAGCATTCAATGCAAGTTGTATAAGTCACATTATCATTAGTACCGTTTCTTTGATCTGTGGATATTTCCCCCCCACCCCAAATTTTGTGGTGATGATTTATTCAAGCTAAGTAGAAACCAAGCTTCCTGCAATAAGATATTTTAACATTTAGCCTTAAGAGCCTTTCTGTAAGTGATAGAACTGAAACTGTGATGCTGTTGTGGACTCCCTTTATAATGTTTTGTACAGTGCAGATCACTACAGTGTTGCCTCAAGATATAACGCACTTTGATTAGATTTCTTAAAATCTAATAAGAATAACTTGTCAGTAATTATATAGATTTTTCCACATACTGCCTTCGCACTAGTTTTGCTGTAGCCTTTCCCCCTTTCCCCAAAGGGAAACCCTAGATCACCTCATCATGGACACTTTCAAAGATCGGGGCCTTGTCTTGGTATGTTGATCAAAGCCTCTCCCCTGACCCCATCCTTCCTTTATCTCTTGACCAAGTGGGCGTCTCTCTCTGCTGCTGTAATTGTCTTTTTCCACATGACTCCTGAATGTTGTACAAAATGATTTGATATGAGGGATCCCACCATATTATTGTAACTGGATTTGGGATGTCCCGTGTTGGGAGGATTTTTTAAAAAGTGAAATTTCAAAGGGCAATGATCCCTTCCCTCACCACCACCTTGGTATAATTCCTACTTAACTTTAAAATGAGCATTTTTTTAAAGAAAAAAAGAATAACCCTTTGAATAATAGGTAGTATGTTTCAATAATCTTGTATCAGGATGAACTGCTCTATGAAGTAATATGACTTTTCATAATGAATGTGTTATATTGTTGTATCTTCATATGCTCTGTATTTTTTTCCCCTTGGCTGGAAACAGGTCAAACTCTTCCATTGCCACCACTGCATGGAGACTTGACGAATAAACTGTAATGCAGTTGTTCTGGCACTTTACAAATGTATGTCACTTGTTTTCATTTTTTTTCCAGAATCCTCTCTCTTTTGATGATTTGCATTTGTCACTTTGTCTTTTCAAGCATGAATAAAGCAAAATAAATAGAAACTATTTTTGTGGTCAGCCAAGACGCTGCCAATAGAGAGAAGTCTATATCTTCTGTTTGGAATGTTCTGATGAAATTGCCATCACCAACATTAATACTCCCTTACTGACATTTTTAAACAAGCACAAAGAATATTTGTAAAAACAAAATTTAATTTTATTTATTATAGTAATAAACTATTTTATACATTACCATGCCTTTCCTCAGCAGTGTGTGCTTTCCTGTTTGGATAAATGACTGCATTTTTAATGTTTCTCTCCAAAGGCTGAGTGGATGAGCTTGAAAACAATTGTGCGCCATTGCCTTTGAGGTTTGCTTTCTGTTTAAGAAAGACACTTCTTATGATGCCAACAATGATTGCTCAGCAGGCCAGGCAGTGCTGAGAGGTTTAGAAGTCCCCTTTCCAGATTCACAATAGGCAGAGTTCAAGGCCCTCTGAATTTAGGTTTGATTACAGTGCTCTTACATGAAGTGCAGTCTTATCTGACTCTGAGCACATCAATTGATTATGTAAAGATTTGAGGGAATGACTTTTCCCAGAAACCTTAGGAGAAATAGAAAATTGGTCAACTCCTATATGAAAAAATGTGAAATACATAGAGAAATGAAATGTATGAAAAAGGGTTACAGGAACTGGGCATGGCTAGTCTAGTAAAGAGAAGGACCAGGGGAGACATGATAGCAGTGTTCCAATATTTGAGGGGCTGCCAGAGAGAGGAAGGGGTCAAGCTATTTTCAAGGCATCTGAAGGCCAGATAAGGAATAATGGATAGAAACTGATCAAGGGGAGATTCAACCTAGAAATAAGGAGAAATTTTCTGACAGTGACAACAATCTACCTATGGAACAGCTTACCTTCGGAAGTTGTGGGAGCTTCATCACTGGAGGTTTTCAGGAAGAGCTTGGACTACCATTTGTCAGAAATGGTGTAGGGTCTCCTGCTTGGGCGGGCGGGTTGGACTACATGATCTACAAGGTCCCTTCCAAATCTGTTAATCTGTAATAATATGTATGAGCAATGCTGTCCTCATTAACGTTACTGAAAGTTTTACTAAAACCAAACATCAAAGGGGGGGCTACAAAATAATATAATTGAGGAAGGTTAAAGTAGGTCAGCATAATTAGTTAATTGCAAACTGAAATGGTAACCACTTAGCCATATTTATTTATAAAATGGTATCACAGTTTATGTTGAGGTATCATTTAGAAATCACACAAGTTTAATTAGGTGATGCAGAGTACTTTAGGGAATGATTATGCAGCTGTCCATCACAAAGCTGCTAGTTGCACTACTTACATGATACTACCAAAATAAGACATTATTATACTATATGGACTTTTATTCAGAAAATAACAAATGAATTTTATAGATCTTTGACAATTAGAGCTGAGATATTTGAAAGGAAGGAAGCCATTCATTTATATAGGGAAAATTATCCTTGAAATTTGTGAAATTCAGACAATGAGGAACCAAGAAGAAGCAGACAGCTTCAGAGGGATATTTATAAAAGAAGGTAAGTCCAATCCCATGGTTTAACTTTTTTAAACATAATTTTTATTAAAAGTCTTAAAATCAATAATAACAGAAATTAAAACAGAACAGAGAAAAGAAAAAAAGAGATATAACAGAAAAAGCTAAAAGCAGAAGAAAATAGGAAAAAAGAAATAAAGAAAAATATAAAAATACAAAGAAATAGCTTCTTTACAGCAGTAATATACAATTATTAATTTACTTATTACTCTATGGTTACAACATACCACTCTTCGTTCTATAATCTACCCTGTCTAATCATCCTAGCCATAATCTAGTTCTTATTTATTTTTACACACAAAATAATATATAAGGGGATTTCAATCATCAATAAATATACATATTATCCTTTCTCTAATATTAAAGTTTGGTTGTCAAAAATCAGTTTTGTCCATCTCAGCAACTTCTATCAATTTCACTACCCAATCGTTCATGCTGCATCTTCCTATCTTTGTGCATATAGTAATCTTACTAGAGTAATCTTCATAGTTTTTCTAACTGTTTAGGCTATCAAACCTAAAATGGTTCTGGATTTAATTGAATATTAATCTTTAAAATCCCCTGTAAAATGTTTGCTTTTTAAGCTTTTTTTGCATGCCTACCAAGCTTATTATGGCTTAAAATTCTTCTGGAAAAAAGTGTCCAGGAAAGCTGGGAAATTCTATAAAATTGGACACAGAAGATGCAGCCACAAACAATTTCTCTTAGGAAAGAAAAAAAATGGAAAAGATCTACAGAGGCCAGCATGGTTATATACAGAGCTCTCTAAAACAACAAAGAGAAACTTGTATCAGAAATGGAAACAGGAAACATACAAGAAATGTAAAAGAAGAATACAAGGTAGTCTCCAGAAACGAGGAACTTTGCCACTCTCCTGTCTCCAAAATACTAAAGCTCAGAATAAGTGGATGCTTCAAGAAAGTAATGTCAGTAATATCAAAATAACACAAAACAGTACATTAAAACAAATATGGGAGCCAATGGAAATGTAAGTCCATTTGCAAAGAGAAAGTGGTGAAATGATAATGTGGGAGGCTGATAAGACAGAACTTCTTAACTCTTTTTTAAATGCTCTTTTTAAAATTTTCTTAGGAGGGAAATGGAGATTAGCCATTGGGGTTATGCCCCAAGGGAAAGGATAAATGTATATAACTATGCATTTTATTTTATCTTCTTCTTACTTCTTCTTTTACAGCTTTGGTGTCAAGAGAATTTTATTTTATACATTTAAATATATATTTTTGCGTGAAAGGAAAGATTCATAAAGATCTCCCTTCCCTTCCCTCCCCTGGCACACAAAGATTAAAGACCTTTTCTCTAAATCTTTTTGAATCTTTTTACTTACAACTCAAGTATAAGTTTCCTGTTATTGCACACTTATAAAATCCCCTTTAATTCCATTATAGAAAATTATTAATAAAAATGTTGAGCAACAGAGGACCCAGACAAAGCCTTCTTACCCTCCACTTGATACTTCTGTCCGAGCTGAAGTAGAGCCATCAATGAATCTCTTACTATGGTCATTCAGTCAAATCTGAATCCAACTGGCCCATATTTTATTATTTAATGAAGAAAATAATCATGTGGCACACTGATTTGCTGAGGTCTAGATATACTATGTCTGCAGATTCTTCTGACCTTCTAAACTAGTAAGCCTTTCAAAGAAAGAGGTGCAGTTAATCTGGCATGATTGGCTGTGACAAACCCACTTTGGCTTTTGTTAATTATGACACATCTATCCAACTGCTCACAACATGCTGTTTGAAGAGTTTGTCCAGTACAGTCAAGCTGAAATGTCTGTGAGCCCTCTTTATTCACCTTTTTGAAAATAATGTTGACAGTTGCTCTCCTCCGGTCTTCTGGGGTCTCACCAGTCCCCCACTTCTCAAAGATTACTGAAAGCAGTTCTGGTATCTGCTTTATTAATTCCATCAGGATCCTAGGTTGAAATCCATCTGGCCCTAGAGACTTGAATTTGCTTGAATCAGCTACATTCTCCCTTACCTACTATTTACCTGTTCTAAATGGCAGTTCCTTCTTCCTTCTTTCCACTGGCATAAGGAGCAGCTAGGATTTTTATTTTCTTCTGAGGCAAGACAGACCAAAAATAGAGTTAAATTCATTATCGGCATCAGCATCATTTTCTCTTTGCAACAAAATCTACATTCTCTTTGCCTTTCCTTTTGATCCCAATCTACTCAAAGGACCCTTTGTTGTTTTTGGATTCTCCTGCAAAACTAGGCCTACTATGAGATTTACCTTTCCTACATTTTATAATGTTCTTTTGTTATGCTCCCCTCATTTTATTTCCCCAGCATGTTCTTTTTTCTCTTTGGTATATTAGAGAGCTCTGCATGTTTTCGTGCTGGCTTTAGAAATCTTCTACTTTTCTGTCTTGTAGAAATCCTTTTTCTTTACACTCTCAGTATCTCCCATATTTCCTGGATATCCATTCTTTCCCCAAATCCAATGTAAAGGTCAGTTCCTTTCATCGCCTCCTGCCCTGGATATTGTGAAGGCCATAATTATGAGTTTTATTTCCCAATACCACTCTATGTTATTTTTTCAATAATTTCCTCTCTCTTGCTAAGGACATGTCCAGGATAACATAACTTCTTGTTCTTTCTTCCCATCTTCTGACAAATGAAGTTGTCATCAGAATTTTCTGGTTTTCTGATTCTTGGCATAGTTAGATACCCAGCAGATGTCAGAATAATTTAAATCTTCCATTATCACAATTGCATGCCTCTTTGAAAAACTAGTCATCTAGATTTTAGAAAGGTCTCATCTGTATCTTCCAATTGTCTTCTATAATGATCTCAAATGCAAATGCTTTTGTTTTTCTTTCCTTTTATTTTTACCCAAACACCTGCCACACTTTAAACCCAACCATTTTCACGTTGACAAACAACACATATAAACAAGCCAGTGCTGCAAATTATACAACACCCCTAGAATTATATAATAACACTTGGCCAACCCACCATTCATGTTGTCATACTTGTATCATGCACAATCTATTCTGTCATGACCTCAAATATATTTACTCAGGTCTTGAAAATGGCTAGGAAATGATGCCATATGCTGCTGGAGGAAATTAAGAAACAGAAGGACTAAAGGAAAACTAACGTTTGACTAAACGCCAAATTTTGACATGAGTGAAAATTAATACTGCCCATTGATTTTTCTTAGTGGGAAATTGTAGACTATCCCCTCCTTAACTTCTCTCCCAGAAAAGACAAGGGGCAAATTGTGGCAACACTAGTAGCAATGTGGAAACAGTAAAATGCTTTGATGAACAGAAGATCCCAGTTATTGGCAAAACATATTTTGTGCTGACGCTTGCATTAAAAATGACTGGAAGAATATTCTACCACAATGTGCAAAGTCTCACTTTGCTCTCTGAAGCTTTGAACAGGAATGATGGAATTATGGATACTTAGAGCATTTCTGTCAGCGTGTTGGCTTGAGGATGGGATTAGGCATTCCCAGTTTATACTGTATAGTGCCGCCCCCCACCAGACCCCTTAAGCAGAATGAAGTAGCTGACTTACACATCTAGATTTACACCAGCAAAATGCAGAGAAGTTTTATTTAATGTTATATTTTTGCTATGAAGAAAGATAGAATGTATTGTTGAGCTGCCTGCCTCAGGTGCCTAAATAACTTGATCAACCTTGTGGTGGGGAAAGAGGGAAGAGACGAAACATCCCAAGTGTCCTACAGATGTTTAATTTACAAATTAATTAAAATTCATGTCATAGGATTTATCCATACATCATTCTCCTAAGACATTTACGGAGAAGAGTTCTATCAATGTGTGGATTTACAAATGTAATGGACTAACACCAGCCTCCTGAAATCTAGTAGGGGCCTGCACCCAGTGCTTCAAATCCCACACAAATATGCACAGCATTTCTCCAACCTCCCAGGGCTTCTGCATCAGCCTGAAAGAAGAAAGAACAGATGCTACTCTAAGCATCTACTCATTAAAGTTAATTTGCTTTCTAAAGCTGCACCATCATTTTCCAGTTTTGCACAAAAACCTAAAAAGAACAGGCCACTTTAATGACTGTCAGAAAAAGGCTGTGCTCACAGGTCTAAAGCTGTTCTTTTGATTTTTGAAGTGCACACAGTGCCTTTCAGATCTGTTGAACTTCTGTAACTGGCAGATACATTAGGATGTTCATGATTGGAAGCAGCAGTCATTAATTCTGCGGTCTACAACAAGCAATCCTGTATCATACCAGTTTCATACATGCTGATAGGTATTCATTTTGCAATTTAGAAAACAAATGAAATGCTACCAATCGGGATAAAATAACAATTTCATATAACGATTTCACAGGCATGTGAATTTTATCAGAGGTCTTCTCAAGCAGAGCAATCAATCAAATCTTATTCAACAATTTTGGATTGATTATCCAGTTATTTCCTTTAATGAGTAATGATTGGCCTTGTTGCTAAAAGTGAGTGTTGCCACCTTTTTATTCCTGCCATCAGATAGATGTGATTTAGTAAGAATTAAGTCCTACTTAAGACTTTGGTTATCTCATTTCATTTATGTAATATAAAAAATAATCATCACTCAATATTGAATCTGTATCTGGGGAGGAATTGGCAAACATTCTTTGTGAATTAGATTTGATGCTTCAGCAATATGCTGTTAAGGAGATAATCTATCAAAATTCATTCTTAAATCTAGGGAATAATTTGGAAAGAAATATTGTTGCCAGAAAAATGTTAGAGACATCTAACATTTTTTATTTTGGGGTCCTTCAAATAATGTCCTAGAATTCAATTTATTTTCATTTTTTCTTTGTTCCTTCTCACTAAATTCTCCAGAGTTTTAACATGTTATGTTTAGTAAATCCCAATATAGGGAAATTATCCAGGTCACTCTCTTGGTTTATTTGCATATCCCTTTTAATTATTAAGACATCAGCTGGTTTCTTTTGTATGTCCAGTGCAACATCTTTTCCCATTGAAGGTTTTTCTTCCTTGTGTTAAACTTGACAGTACAAACAGCACATACATATATTTGGTGCTTTTTTTTAAAAAAAAAAACCCTATTTATTACTTATCTTACCTTCTCCAGAATAACTTATCAGGTCTTGGTTCATTTCCCTTCAGTTTGGAGTATAGCCAGATTTGGAGGGCATTTCAAGTGAATCACTGTAGCAAAACAAAATGGGAAGGAAGAATCTCTTGGATGCAGAGACCAACATCAATCAAGGAGGCTGGAATGAGCTTACAAATCCCATGAATTATTGTATTGCTTTTTTTTTTTGTTCCTCTGAGTCGTTCATTCTTCCTTTCCAGTAAATGCACACTTTACACACATTTAAGTTTAAGCAAAGTTTATATTTAAACCTGGTTCATTTCCCCACTCCCACAATAAATTATGACTTCAAAGAGTGACTGAGCAGAGTTTAATATAAAATATTTCAGTGCTAGCCAGCTACAAAATCCATTATCAGATACTACAGACTTTTTAGCTAGACTGGCTGAAATTGAAATGATAAATATGAGGACTTGCACAAACCATTTTTTGAATATTTTTCTATTTATTCGAAATCAAGTGACCTAAAGGGCAAAACAGACCGGGGAAAAAATCAGGATGTATATAAGTGAAGATACAGTGAGGGGGGAAAATGTTTTTAATGCTATTATTAGTATTTCAAGGACTTTTAAAGATTATATGCCTTTTTCCTTTGAGCTGTTTTAAGCAGATTAGTCAAACTAAGTGGATTTTAATTATCCAAGGTGAAAGTGATCTGGGACAAAGCCTGACACCCATCTGTAATTGAGGAAAGTTTCATGAAAGCATGAATTAATTTAATTGTACCAATATGATATAGTTGTTACAGAATGACATTTGTCATAGGCTGGTGTATTGTCTCCTCACAAAACACCATTAGGATACTACAGCTGATGGAAAGAATCTATTCTGTAGGGCTGAAAAAAGTTCTGGGCAGAAATTGGGAAGTACAATTTCCTATGCATAGTAGAGTATGAAATAGACTTTGAAACAAACATTCTGCCTTAGCCCCATTCTGTCTTGATGTAATATACATAGATCTTTCTCATCAAGAAAGATCCTAGTTCCTCAATGCACCTACCAGGACTTAGAATTATCGTAGCAAATGCTGCTCCCTACAGCTCAGCTGTAGTAAGATTTAGGATTTTCTCTCCAGAACAATTTTCTAAGCTCTGCCTTCTAATTAATTTTCAGTTGGTTCCATTATTTTTGGATGAGAATTACTTCGAGAATATAGAAACATGGAAGCACAATGATGTCACACTGAGTTGCCAAACAAAAAGTTTTTTGTGAGAATGAACTGCACCGCTATGGTTGATAGTACTGGAACATGACAGAAATCAGATTTAGAAGTCACGATAAAGAAACTATTGTTCATCCACTCCTATTAGCAAAAGGAGCTAAGTGACATCAATTAACAGTGGGCATCTCATTGCTCAACCCTGAACCTTGAAGAAATGTTATTGTACATGATTGCAGTCAATTGTGAATTTTTTTTTTTTACTTCTAATATTCTATTTCCTATTTCTTTACCATCTATTGTGAAATTGACTATTTAAAAACAAAATTCCATTACTTTGGAATATCTGTTTAAATATAATATATATAAGAACCAAACATCTGTAAAACATTTTAAGGGCCCACCTATAATATTTCACTGCACTGAATGAAATGGCTTGTTCCTAAGATGGAGTTGTGAATCTATAGAACTTTCATACTTGCTCTTTTTCTGTTTTGGCAGAAGTCTCCTTCAGAAAGAGGTATGACATTGGTTATGAATGTGCGGGCTATCATTACAGAAATATAAGCAAATCCTTTCAAAGAACTATGCCAAGGAAATATTACGGTTTATTGATGACCTATTGCCAAATTGATAAATATATCCATATTTGAATCCAAAAGGTGTATATAATGAGCCTTTACCTTTCCAACCTTGATGGTGGCAATGATTTATTCCTCTAATGTGAATAGGCCTGAATAGGCTCAATGTATTACTTCTAGGAATACCATTAATATTTTTCCTTGAAGAATGACAATGTCACTCACCTTCTTGGATATACAGTATAATTACGCTGTTATGTGAGGAAAGGAGATTCACATATAAAAAGAATAAAACCAAGTCATTTTGGACACCCAGAATCACTCTGTCTAGTAAGATGAGCAACACTTAAATTTAATAAATAAATAAATCTTCAGATCCATTATCTCTCTCTCAGAGGAAAGGGTTGTCCTGAGAGTCTGCTAGGCCAGAATATGGAACTTGGAAGGTTTGCTAATTTTGTTCCATGGAAAAAAGACTGCTTGTTTATGCTTTACAGAAGTCATTAACTTGCTTTCAAATAATCTTTAATAAATTATTATTTTTAATTAATAGCCTGTTATGTATATTTTCCCCTTCATCTTATCCTTAGTTCCAATCATATTTTGGGTTGGTTGACAACTGCAAAATCATTCATTCATACATATACTTGCAACACGAATGAACAGGTAACACATACAGTTTTTTTTAATGCAAATATATTCAATATCTTAAAAGCATTTGTAAAATTGTGACTTGACAAAGGTAACTAAATCTAAACATATTATTTCCAACATTTCTAGAACAGAAGGTGAGGTCCAATGGAATATTTTTACTGCTGGAATTTTTATCAGCACAAGATTTTTGTGGGGCAGAGAGAGGACAAGTGGCTGTGTTCTCTCTTCTAAAGTCTCCTATATCTTCAGGGTTTTTTTTTTTTTTTTTGAAGGATTGAGGAAACCACCCAACTGGTTTGGACCCAGTAAAGGAAAGCATTATTGCATGCAATTTTGGATTTCATTAAAAGTTCTTACTTCAAAGTTATTTATGGGGCTCTTCTAAAAGGGGGAAGACAAATGTTATAGATTCATTGCTATTGTTTTTCATCCTTATGACTAAATTACAGTAGTTTCCTAAATACACATCACTTTGTTACAAACACAATTTCCTTATAAATAGAAACTTTGGAAACAAATATATATAAAACTAGTTATATTTTAGAGAATTGATATAAAATCAAATATTACAATGTCTGGTTTTAGAAACCAGAATGTCTTTATTTTATGTTGCCTGGTTTTACTTGTGGAATTCATACACGACCAGACATTGATTCTCCAGAAAAACTGAAATGTTGTTGTGTTGATGAAGAAATGAACGTTCGTGTGAAAATTCCACTATCCTTTCTTTTAAGGACAGGACTGTTAACTTTGGCGTGTGTGTGTTGCCACTCAATCCCAACATTAGAGTAACAATATAAGATTCCAACAACAGACAATGTTGCCCAGGGCCAACCTGTAAAAAACAGAAGAGAGAGAGAGTGAGAAAGAGAGTGTGAGAGAGTAGTAATGTATAAACTCCTACTGTCCTTATTTGAAACAAAACGCAGAGCTGGTAAACATAATTAAGCTAAAACCTGTATCTACATAACACAAATCAGGCGAGGCTTCATTTAAGGCATGAAAGCCGGTTAAATGTACTATTAATTGTCCTTCATTTTTTTTTTAATCAATACTGATTACAGCTGCCAAATATTTTTTCTAAAAGGGCCTGCTGTTAAATTATAAATCTACAAGACAAAGGAAGCTACCTGATTTTGGCTTTAAAAATCCATCATATACTCCTTCCTTTAGGTCAAATTATTCAGAATCAAGTTGGAATTGCCTCTACTTGAGATGGGCAGCATGTAAGATAGCTAGATAGCTAGATAGCTAGGTAGGTAGGTAGGTAGATAGATAGATACAGAGGTGGGTTTCAGCAGGTTCTAACCAGTTCTGGAGAACCAGTAGCAGAAATTTTGAGTAGTTCGGAAAACCCGTAGTAAAAATTCTGACTGGCCCCGCCCCTATCTATTCTCTGCCTCCCAAGTCCCAGCTGATGGGGAGGAAATGGGGATTTTGCAGTAACCTTCCCCTAGATTGGGGAGGGATTGGAAATTTTACAGTATCCTTCCCCTGCCATGCCACGCCCACCAGGCCACGCCCACAGAACCGATAGTAAAAAATTGGAAACCCACCACTGGATGGATAGATAGATAGATAGATAGATAGATAGATAGATAGATAGACAGACAGATAGACAGACAGACAGAAAGACAGACAGACAGACAGACAGACAAATAATAAGTCATTTACAGTATGTTTCCTCTGAAAACTTTATCTAGAAGGCTTCCCTGGAATGAAGCTTACTGTCACTTCAGTATCTGGGTTAAGATCATACTTCTAGATCTGAATGTCTATGGAGATTCTCAGTTATCCAGGTCATAGTTGCCACCTTTGGTTTCTAATCTGATCTGAAATATCTAAATTGTTCCTTTAAATTTTGGATTCCCTTTTCTACTTCTGCCAATAATTCATTAAATAGTTTTAAATCCTGTAAGTTGCTTTGAGACTCCTTTGGACTATAAATTATTTAATTCAATTGTTTTGATTATTTCCAATTTAATAATCTTTTTAGCAAGGCTAGAAAAGGCCAGGCAAAGATTTTGAACATTCTGAACAGTCAGTAATATATGATTTACCTCCAGACTGCTTTTAATACCAGGCAGAATGAAATCGGAGAGGACAAGCATGTGAGTGCTTTATTATTTTATAACTAATGTGCTTACAGTTAAGTAAAGGTTAAAACTATTTCAAGGCTGCCTACTTAGAAGTAGGCAATCTTTTTTTTTAATATACTAAAATCTGTCATTTGCCTGTGAGTTGAGAAAGAAAACTAAATTCAATTTAATTTAAAAGAAACTGAGGTTATGTTAATCAAATGTAGTCAATATGATTACTCTCCATTCTTCAACAATTTCTCCTCCTGACACAATCAATTTGGAGCACTTTTGGGAGAATGTCTGCAGGCTACCCCAAAGCTGTAGAAAATTGCACAAAGCCATGAGCTGTGTGCCCCTTAGCAAACATTCTGCTTTCTAAAGAATTTGAGGAAAGAAAAAAACCCCACCTATGATTTTTTTTTCTTGTTTTCACATTCTAATTATAGCCAAGATTAGGGAGGTCTTTTTTTCCCTGGCATATTAAAATATTAAATGAGAAAGATGCATGAAGGCAGTATAGATGAATCGCTGTGTACTAATTGCTGCCAATGCCTGTTTTATTCTCTTTACACTTTATT